TTGGTGTGTGTGGTGGGGGGAGGGCAGAGCCTTGCTCTGTCGCTCAGAGTGGAGTGCAGTGGTTCGATCTTGGCTCACTGCAACCTCCACTTCCTGGGCTTGTGATCCAGCTTCAGCCTCCTGAGTAGCCAGGACTACAGGTGCACACCACCACGCCCAGCTAATTTTTGTATTTTTGGTAGAGACAGAGTCTCCCTGTGTTACCCTGGTCTTGAACCCCTGGGCTCAAGCAATGCCCCCTCCTTGGTATCCCAAAGTGCTGAGATTACAGGCATGAGCCACCATGTCCCGGGTTCTTGAACCAAGGCTCTTTACATAAAATCAGTTCAGTGTTTAAGAAAGGAGGGAAACTCTTAAGGCTGTCCCCATCTCACAGCATTGAGCACAGAACAGTCTGACCAAGGGTTTGGGTCTTAGGCAGGCTGGTGTCAGTCACTGAAATGCAGGGACACCTGTGGGCCCTGATTAGAAGGAGAAAGTCAGGGAGAGGTAGAGGTCCTAGGCCTGCCAGGTCCCCCTGGTCAGGCATTGTGTGTCGCAACAGGTTCCAGGTGGTGGAAATGGAGCGGGAAAGGGACACCAAGGCAGGTGCAGGGTGGGTGGGGCTGGGTTTGGGGCTTTGTCTTTGGGCATTTGCGGAACTGAGGCAGGGACTGCCAAGTCCAAGGCCCCAGGGTCCTTGCCCAGAACAGCTGCCTCTGACCAATTGCTCAGCTGCCAGAGAAGTGACTGGAATAGAGGTAGTAGCTTAGGCACCGCTGCTCTCTCCAGTCCCTCCGTGCAGCCAATGATGGCCCTGCAGCTCCTGCTCCGTCTCACCTTCCTGGGGCTCAGCATCACCTCACCCTTGGTCCATGCGGAGGGCTTCCAAGGGCCAGAAGCCGGTAGGTGGAGGGCAAGGTCACAAACTTTGGGATTAGGGCCCTAAGGCACCTGAGTGACCTTGACCTTTATTGTTCAGTCTGGCCATCTCTCTTCAACTTGCCCCAGAAGGTTCAGAGCGCATCCAGATTCCGAACAATGGGAGTGCACCCCTGCTCGTGGATGTGGAAGTGTTTGTGTCCAATGTGTTTAATGTGGTAAGTGCCGCTAGGCCAAGGGACCTAAGTGCTGAGCTGGGGAGGGAAGAGGAGTCAGACCTGGATAGTGCTGGGATCTCCTGCCGCGTTCTGTCACACAGTGCCCACCCTGAGGTGATGCACTGCCCTTCTCCCAGGACATTCTGCGGTACACAGTGTCCTCCATGCTGCTGCTTAAGCTGGTGAGCTCCTATCCCTGGGGAGGTATGATGGGAAAGCCCAGCTGAGTCCAGCTCAGAAGTACCAGACTTCATCAACCTGCTGAGCTTAGGGGGATGGACATGTGGAGAGGAGCCTCAGTGGTGCCCTTGTGTCCTCAGTCCTGGCTGGACACTCGCCTGGCCTGGAACAATAGCGCACAGCCGCAGCATGCTGTCACGCTGCCCTGGGACTCTCTCTGGACACCAAGGCTCACCATCCTGGAGGCGTAAGTGAGACAGTTCCTGCCCCAGGAATTCACCCTGCAAAGCCCTCCTTTTCCCCATCTACAGCCTAGAGGCCATCTGAGTGAACAGGCCCCTCCTGGCGGTCCCTGCTAGACTAGCAATGCACCCTCACTGCCTCAAGTTCCTCTCCCCCTGCCAAAACTCTGATAGCACCAGGGTTGGGGGTGGGATGCCAGGGTCTCCCCTGCCCCTGTCCAAGGGGCTGGGGCTCTGGCTGTGGTGCCTTTCTCCATAGGCTCTGGGTAGACTGGAGGGACCAGAGCCCACAGGCCCGAGTAGACCAGGACGGCCACGTGAAGCTCAACCTGGCCCTCACCACAGAGACCAACTGCGACTTTGAACTCCTCCACTTCCCCCGGGACCAGAGCAACTGCAGCCTCAGCTTCTATGCTCTCAGCAACACAGGTGCTGACAGGGCAGGGGCTGCAGGGCTGGGGAGGGGAGGAGGAAGGCTCCCAGGTGTGTGTTTAGAGCAATCTACCCCAGGCTTGGGGGGGCAGAACTTGCTCTCCCCACTGTGCCCGACTCGAGTGGCAGCCCAACTTCTCTGTGCTCAGTGGTAGCCTTAAGGCCCCTCTCTAGGGTCACAGACTCAAACCTGGATTCGCAGCAGCTCTGCAATCCTAGAAGTCTGGGCCACATCAGTCTTCCGTCCTGGAGCAATCGCCCTCAACAGCCACGGCCTGACTACGGTGGTGGGCCCCTGCGGCAAGGCCAGAGGCTCTGGTTGCTGCAGCCTGCCTCCTGGAAACAGCCTGAAGGTGCAGCCACCCTGTATAAACCCATTGGGTGACATCTAACTGGGCAGAGAAGTCCTCCCCTTCCCTCCATGAGAAACCACAGCCATAGCCCTGTGGACCCTACTTCAGGTATATAGACAGATGAATCTGACCACTTCTCCCTCCATCATGAAGTGGTGCAAAGTACTTTTATTTTTACAATGAAAGCTCATCTACGAATTTGATAAAGGCCCTCCTTTAACTGGAGACAATTTGGGATGTTGGGAAACAAGGTTTGGGAAGCCCTTCTATGGATCGGTTTTGTCTCCAAGTCTGTCCCTGCCAGAAGCCATCAGAAGTCTCCGTCACCCTAGGCTCATGTGCTGCCCCCAGACTTGGCAGCAGGGATCTCTCCCTCCTAGTTCACAGTTCTCCTTCCTACCCTCAGTGATGGAATTAGAGTTCCAGGCCCACGCAGTGAACGAGATTGTGAGTGTTAAGAGGGAATATGTAGTTTATGATCTGAAGACCCAAGTCCCACCCCAGCAGGTGGTGCCCTGCTTCAAAGTGACGGTGAGTCCAGTCGGGAGGAAGCTGACAGAGGGCTGCTGGAGGCGGTGGGTGTGAGGAGGCAAGGCCAGAGGCCAGGCCCCATGCCCCCGCTGCCCACCTCCCTCCTCCCCCTGCAAGGCACTGGCTTTTTCCCCCTTCCAGTTGAGCCTGAAGAACACGGCACTCAAGTCCATCATTGCTCTCTTGGTGCCTGCAGAGGCACTGCTGTTGGCTGACGTGTGCGGGGGGCTGCTGCCCCTCTGGACCATCGAGCGCATTGCCTACAAGGTGACCTTGCTGCTGAGCTACCTGGTCTTCCACTCCTCCCTGGTGGATGCCCTGCCAAGCTCCTCCTCCTGCAACCCCCTGCTCAGTAAGCCCTGCTCCCTCACCTGGCCTGCCTGTTTCTCCGCGCCACCCGCTGGTACTCAGCTGGCTGGGCACCAGAGACACAGGAACTAGCCTCTGATCATCTCCCTATGCCCTGTCTCCCCCAGTTTACTTCTTCACCATCCTGCTGCTGCTGTTCTTCCTCAGCACCGTGGAGACTGTGCTGCTGGCTGGGCTGCTGGCCAAGGGCAGCCTTGGGGCCAAGAGCAGCCCCAGCCCAGCCCTAAGAGGGGAACATCGAGAGCATGGCAACTCAGGGCCTCATCCTGAAGGTGGGCAGGGGCTGGGGGAGTAAGGAATGAGGCCTAGGAGCAGACCTAGGGCTGGGGTGAGGGCAAAGGGCTCCAGGCATGTGTAGAGGCTCCCTGCATTTAACCCTGCTGGCTTTTCTGTCCCTGGTCACCACCATGTCCTCCTCCCTTGGAAGAAACAGGTCTGGGGCAGGGAGCAAGCTGAGCCTCCCTGAAGTCCCAGGTGACCTCAACGCCCTGATAACCCCATGCCTTCCACAGTCCTTCTGAGGGGGTTTCTTCAACTAAAGATGGCCTGAAATGGGCCAGACCGAAATGTACATCACCTGAGAGTCTAAGAAAGGGAAAGATTCAGGCTGATGACCCCTGGGGTTCACTCTTCTGATCATGTTGGGGGGACCCTGAAGAACAACTTCTTTCCCTGCCTCTGTCCCCACAGAGCCCCCCAGGGGAGTAAAGGGGTCACAGAGGAGCTGGCCTGAGACTGCTGACCGCATCTTCTTCGTGGTGTATGTGTCTGGGGTGCTGTGCTGCCAATTCATCTTTGCTGGCATTTGGATGTGGGCAGCGTGCAAGTCTGACCCAGCCCCTGGAGAGGCTGCACCCCACGGCAGGAGGCCTAGACCATAACGGGGCAGGGCCTGGGCTGCACACCTTAGGGTGACGTTTGCTGTCCCATGGCTGGGGGAGGCCATGACAGGGTCTCTGGACAAAGCCACCCTGAGCTCTCCCTATGCCAGCATACAAGAAAAGTATGAAATAAACCCATCCCCATGCGCAAGTGTGCCTCAAGGGGCAGTCTTCATTCTCGTCTTAAATAGGGGGGGTCCTATTTTTTGCTTCTGACCTCTACTTTGCTCCTGACTTTTTGCCCATTGTCCCTGTCTCCCAGCACACGGGCAGGCAGCCTAACTGCTCCTTCTGCAACATGACTGCTTGGCCCTGGGCCAGGAGGCACTGAGGCTGAGGACTGGAGACACGGGTCTGAGGAAGGCTGCAGAGGGTGGGGCAGAACTCCTCCAAATGCCTCCTGCAATGTGCTGGACTCCAGGGGGAAAGGACAGTGAGCACACCTGCCCCCAGCCACCTAGGGGACTCCTGGGAGATGGAAAGGTCCCAGACCTCAGGCCTGTGGGCGAGCGGGAATGTGTTCTCTGCACTAAATCCAAGAGAGGGGTCAATGCTGCCTGCCTTCTCCAGGGGCTCTGGCCCTCTGAGCCCCACCACATTTCTGGGCTGTAGGGGGAGTTCTCTGGCCCCACCTCTGACCTAGGCTGGAGGTACGGCCATGCTGCCCTCCTGCTCTTGGTACACGTGAGGCAGCAATGGGCACAGGCCTGTCTTCCTTCTCTCCCTTCCTGTTTCAGAAGCCATCAGGGTCACAAAAGCCAAGGTATGAAGGGACCCCAGGCTTCCGGGAGAGTGCTGGTTTGGTTGGGAACATGGGGTGTGGGGAAGGAGTGGAACCCAGGACTGGATGGCTTGGGGACATGGCTCCTGGATGGGGTGTTGGAGACAGGTCTGTGTCCCAAAGGACTTCGAGCTCACCCGGCCAGAGGCAACTTAACACTGGCTTATCTGTCCAATGACATGTCAGTCTGGTGGAACCAGGCAGGGCTAGCAGCAGGCTCAGGCGGAGGTGTCGAAAAGGCGATCGATCATGTCGCCCACCTGCTCCACACCGTACTTGATGTACTTCTCCGGGTTCTTGGTGAAGGGCACGCTGCCGAACCTGAGGAGGCACTGCCGTCAGGGGACAGGGAAGCCGACCCTCCCCAGCTCCACCCTCAGCCTAGGGCACTCCTGATAGAGTCTCGGAAGGCGTGACCCAGAGTGATTCCCTGTCCAGCCCCGCCCCAAAGCCCAGGGTGCTGGATCTGCGGCCTAAACCCGTCACCCTTTCCCTTTTTCCCTTGAGGAAGAGGAGCTCGAACAGGCCCACTGGGGCCGTGGGCAGCACAGGCTGGGAAGGGGCTCACTTCTGCAGAAAGGCCCCATAGGTCTCCTTGACAATGGTCTTCTGGGCCTGGCGAATCCTGTCCCTCTGCTCCGTGTCCGGAATAGCCCAGGCCTTCTGGATTTTGCATAATTCTTCGAGGCCATCATTGAAGCCCTGGCCACCAAAAAGGTGAAAAAGGAAGGGACCCAGAGACAAAACTTTGGGTCTGTGTTGTCTCAACAGCAGCAGCAAGCAGTGGAGGGGAGAGGACCTCAACTCACCTTAAAACGCTCCTTGATAATCTGCCGCTCCTTGTCCCGGAGCTGGGAAGTCAGGAGAGATGGCAGAGAAAGCTCAGTTCAGAGCAGGGCGACCTGCCCACACTCTGTTCCAAACACCCTTGGCCTGGGCTTCTCTCCTGTGCCCTGATGGCCATAAGCATCCTTTGCTCTCTGACCCCAGAGGGACGCTTGTCCACTTTTCCCAGTGACATAACAAAGTGTCCCGTCTGCTAGATACCCCCTCCCAGCCCAGGCCTTGAGCCCACCTTGACTCCCGGCTGGAACACAGGTAGATTCTTCTCTGCGATGTAATCGGTCACCTTTAACCAACTGCCAGACAGAAAGAGAAGCATGAAGGCAGAGGACGGCCTGCCTCAGTGGCCTGGTTGGTGTCGTTTGCTAAATCTCTGGATCTACTTAGTGGTTGGTGGTAGGAAGGGATGTGGGTCACAACTAAGTAAAACAACAGATTCTCTTCCTGGGAATAGAAAATGTTTAAACAGCCTGGATGCAGTGGTTCTCACCTATAATCCCAGCACTTTGGGAGGCTGAGGCGGGCAGATCACCTGAGGTCAGAGGTTCGAGACCAGACTGGCCAACATGGAGAAACCCCATTTCTACTAAAAATACTAAATTAGCTGGGTGTGGTGGCGCATGCCTGTAATCCCAGCTACTTGGGAGGCTGAGGCAGGAGAATCACTTCAACCCAGGAGGCAGAGGTTGCAATGAGCCAAGGCTGCACCATTGGACTCCAGCCAGGGTAACAAGAGTGAAACTCTGTCTCAAAAAACAAAAGAGAAAATGTTTAAACTGGTCACTCTTTGGGAAAACATAAGGAAACACTTGAGTGTTCAATAAACTGAACAAATACTGTCAACTATATTTCACATCAGTATCATGACACATTAAGATGGAGAAACAGATGGGAAAGAAAGGAGTGAGAGGAGGGGAGATAAACACGAGAAAGGGGGAGACACATTCAAAGGGAAGAAACAAAGCCAGAAAGAAAGAGGACCAGAGAAGCGCAGAGATCCCCACAGAGCAAGGCCCAGCCAAGCTCAAGTGCTCTTGCAACCTTGCGCTTCTCCTAGGCTAAACATTACCCACATCTCTGATAGCCGGCTCTTCAATTATTCTTAGCCTTGACACTTGGCAGGCTCCCCTCTAAAGTGGCTGGCCATAGTGGGCCTCTAGGAGCAGGTAGTGGCAGAGGAGGGGGCTTCTCTCTCCACCCCATGAGTTTGATTAAAAACCAAGTGGAAGATTAGGGTCCAGAGGGCAGGAGTTCCCCATGACTGATCCCTGTGTCCTGAGGTGCTGAGAAGGAAGATTGAGCGGTGGCACAGGGGTGGGGTGAGGGCAGAGACGGCTGGGGATCCATGCAGGGGCAGGGCGAGGCCAGCCTCTCACCTGCGCTGGTAGGTCTGGATCTGCTGCTCAATGTGCTCCCGGTAGGAGCGCTCGGCAGTCTTCTGTGTCACTGCTACCAGCTGGATCAGCTCAGACCTGGGTGGGGGTGGGGGACAGAGGAGAGAATGACAGGATTGGCACCTAGGTGCAAAGCCTGTAGCAATGCCTGGGGGGGCCTCCTGTTGTACCCCAAACTCCATGAATTCTACAGCAGCAGCACTCCCACCTTCTGGGTCCTGGGATGGAGGAGACAAGTACCCCCTCCCCTCTTGACCACAAGAGAAGGAGCCCAGGAGGGCAGGGGCTGGCACTGCTGCACAGCTGAGGGGAAGGTGAGAGCCACAGACTCGCTCCCGCAGGCCACTTACTTCTCCAGGGACTTGAGGATGTAATTGTAGTTGTTGTGCAAGAAGATGGCACTCAGAGCTGGGTCCTCATACACCTTGGACTTGCTCAGCAAGTTCAACTGCAGGTTGCCCAGCACTTTACCTGCATAGGGAAAAGTGGGGTCATCCCCACCATGGCAGTTTGACCCAAATGACCCCATCCCAGGACCTGCTAACCCACTCCTACCCATTGCTCCTCATCCTGCCTCAGAAGGCCTTAGCCCAACTCCCCTCGGCCTCTGAACTAGAGGTCAGGTTGCGGTTCCAAAGGTCAGATGGCACTTAGGAGAGGGCTCTGGGAACAGCCAGAGAGCACAGATGGAAGGAAGGGAAAGGCAGGGTGTGCCAGCGGCAGGGCGTGCCGGCAGCAGGGCTGCTGGTCCGCCCAGAGAACACTCACAGATATAGGTGCTTAGCAGCCGCTTGCTGAACTCGGAGCTGTAGCTGGTGGCGGAAGAACTGGTCTCTGTGAGAGAAAGCCTGTGAATTGCAGTGGCAGCAGCCAAGACCCTCAACAGCCCTTCCCCCAGCCCATGTAGCAGTCTGAGGGGGCACTGACACAGGCCCTGGGCTTCCTCGGGCAGAGCTGGCCACCTGCTGAGTCACAGGGAAGCCCCTGCTGCAGGAAGCACCAGCCCTGGACTTCTTGGAACCCAGAGCTGCCGTCTATGATGGGGTGGTGTGGCCAAGGAGCTGGCCCAGTTCAGCAGGAGGGTGGGCAGGACAAGAGTGAGATGCCATCGCCCTGCCCCCTCCCCACCCCCAGCCCACCCTGGGTGGTTTCTACAAGGCTGCCTCTTCCCTTTTGCCAACAGCAGAGGCTTAGAATGAGCTCCCCACAGCCTCTCCACCTCCCCCTACATTTCCAACATCCCCCTCTACCAGGCCCTACTGAACAGAGGAAGCTGTGGCCTCCACAGTGTGGAAGGCTGAGGGGGATGGCAAGGCAGGGAGGCCGGGCGAGCCTGCAGGGTGTATTCAGGGCGCTGACACCGGCAGGTGCTGTGGATAAGCTCAGAGTGGCCCTGAAGGGAGCAGAAAGAACTGAGAGAACCCTGGGAAGACTCATGTCCCCTCTGACCCAGGCTCCCCAATAGATCCTGAGAGTCAGTCCCCAGGGAACCTCACCCACCAGGCTTCAGAGGGACAAGAGGGGGGCTGCAGAACCGTACTGCTTACCTCGGGGGTCTAAAGGAATATTGTATGTGTCCCCAAGAACTACGAAGTGAAAGGCAGTGCACAGAGGGGATGCAGGGAGAGACAAAGGAGGAAGAAAGATGCAAAGTGCAAAAAACAGGTTAGAAACAGCACGTCAACCCATTAAGCAGACCTCTCCCCATGACAGCCAGAACAGACAGCAAGACACAGCAGGCAGGACCTTCTGAGGACCAGGGAGTGCCCTGCAAAGTAGAGAGCTGGAGATCCGAAGACTGGAGGCTGCCCACGGGCTCCCTGGCCCCAAAATGGGAAGGGAGGGGAAGGCCTGGGGACCTCAGTGCTTGGAATGACCAAGAAAGCTGCTCTTGCTCACAGGCTGACCCCCTGAGCTCCAGTCTCAGGGCAGGGGCCCGCAGGAAGACACCTGGCTGGCTCTGAGACGCTTGATACCCATGGAAGGCCAGCTGAGCGAGCCTGATTAGAGCAGGCAGACATGAGAGAAGGATCTGGGAGGCAGGCAGGGGCAGAAAGGACATCTTCCAACCAGCCAGCACTGCTCCCAGACTGAGGACACTGCTTCCAGGACAAGGAAGGTCAAAGGGGCTGAGGGTAGGGCCAGAGGTCCAGTGTCTAGTCTTGAAAGGTGCAGGCAAACCTTGCTCTCCTGATGCTCGGCCCCAGGGCCCCTATGCAGGCCACATATCCACGGACTGGAGAGACCCCCTCACTGTGCCCTGCCCTCTAACCTCATGTCTCCAGGCAAGGAGGGGAGTGGGGCAGGGGGCCCAGCTGGGAGGTGCCAGTACCTTGGGAGGCCAGCATGGCACCTGCCGTCTCCTGGAAGTCCAAAAGCTGCTGCAGGAAGAGGATGGCCTGGGTGGGGAGAAGATGGTGCAGAAGGGCAAGTGGCAGGCCTGGCCGATGGCTCCCACACAGACCCCTCTGACAGCCCAGGACCAGCCCAGGCTGGGATCCGCCCAATGAAGAGCGAGGCTGGAAACCGTGTTTTATTTTGTGGGCTCTGGCCTGCCAGGAAAGGCCTCGTCTGTTACAGACACCAAGCATGTCACCACCCATCCTGCCACCAGGGACTGCTTTCGAAGGTCCAACTCTGGTGGGTCCCTTCCACCAGAAGGGACTTGGGACCACCTTCCTCCCCCCTCCCCGGTGCCTGGGTTGCTGGTGAGCTCGTTCCTCCCCCCTCCCCAGTACCCTCGGTGGTGCCTACATTGCTGGTGAGCTCGTGCACAGTGCCATCCTTGGGCATGTTATATTCCTTGTCCGGGTCATTCTGCGGAGAAACAGCCTCTGGTTCCCTGTCCTACCCCACACCCCAGTGTGCCTGCTCATGGTGCCACCTCCTGGCAGACAGGTGCTAGGACACCTCTCAGGCACAGAAGCCGAGCCTGGCTGGCTGGACCAAGTGGGAGAGGGGCTTCCCGCCTCAGAGGGTTTGGAGGCCCCGGGAAGGAAAGGAAGGCACAGGGGTGCTGACAGTAGGCCTGCAGCCCAACCAGAGACCCCCGGGGACAACCCACCCTCTTGGAGACCTACTCTGAGAGTCCCCCAGGGCCAGGTCGTTGTGGCGCTGGGCCTGCAGGGAGGAGGGGGAGGACGGCACCTTGATGTTGTCAGCGAAGTCCTCCAGCGCTTTGGCGCCAATGGTCTCCATGGAGGTGATGAGGCCAGGCAGCTTGTTCTTGGTGCTGGCGGCCGTGCCCTGAGGAAGCACAGGGGGCCCCCAGCTCGCCTCCATTGGCCCTGTGAGCATCTCACTCGCCCAGGGCCCTTCCTAAGCTGCTTCCATGCACCCTCAGAGCAGAGGTGTGAGACGGAGAATGGGGTTCTCCAGGGGAGGGAGCGGGGTGGCCATGCCGGCAGCAGGATGCCTCCTGGCCGTGTTTCCGAGGGCCCCTCGCCACACACCTGGAGCACCTGGTCAAACTCAGGCTTGGTCTGCTTGAGGTGCCGCAGGATGGGGAAGACGGTGAGCACCGTGGAGAAGTCATGCCGCACAATGGCCTTCCGGGCGGCAGACACGATGTTCTCCCCCTCCAGCATCAGCCCATCCAGGGCATCCTGAGGGGACACGGAGACGGTTCAGGGAAGGGCAGGGCAGTGGGAGCTGGCTCCAGGCTGGTGGGGGATCCTTGTAGAGTGTGGCAGGGCCAGTGTGCAGGAAGAGGGGCGATGGGGAGGTGGTGAGTGTCCACCCAGGACTAGTCCCCAGGGCACAAGGTGGCGGTGGTGGCTGGAGTTGAGGGCTGCAAGAGTCTGCGGTGACAGCTCTCAATGGGGCTGGCTGCAGAGCCCCTGGGGCGGGGCAGGACCTGTATCAGGGAGTCAAAGGTCTTCTTCTGGTGGTGCTCAGGGATGATGTCAGCCAGCAGCTGGTACTCGCTCTGGGCCAGCTTGACGAAGGCACTGACGCAGTGGATATAGGCATCGGTCTCCACGTCTAGCATGTCATCTCTCCCTAGGGATGGCACAGCTCTTGAGCTGCCGGTCTGGGGCCAGCCACACTCCTGGCTGGGGGTGGCGTGGGTCCCCCAGCTCCTGGCCTGTAGCCCAGACCAGCAGCGGATGGGGAAGAGGCCGACTGTTCTGGCAGAAAGCTGCGAGGATGCCAGCATGCCCCGCCAGGTGTGACAGGAACAACGGGAGCTGAGCCTAGCCTTTGTTCTGGCTTCATTCTCAGCTCTATGCAGACAGTGGGGTCAGATACCAGAGGCAGGAGGGTGAGGGACGGAAGGATAAGGAGGGAATGTCCCTGAATCAATGTCCTGGATACTGACCCCAGGACTGAGCGTTCTGTAGAGGCAGGGGGGTGAGGGACGGAAGGATAAGGAGGGAAGGTCCCTGAATCAACGTCCTGGTTACTGACCCCAGGACTGAGCATTCTGAGTTGTACCTGACAGAGGGAAGCCCAGGGTGGGCAGGTGGCAGTGCCACCTCAGGGAAGCTGGCACTGGGGTCATCCATGTGGGCAAACACAGGGCCTGCAAAGGCAGTGACCACCCCAGTCAGGGTTTCTGGAACGTCTAAGAGGGTAGTGGGCTACAGCCTCTGAGGCTGGCTGGCATGGGGTCAAAATCTGAGAAGAGGCTGGTAATTCCCAGAGAAGAGGGGTTGCCAGCTGCCCCAGGAGGAGGCCAGACCCTACTACTGGAGGCCGCAGCAGGGGAGCCTAGAGACAAAACCAGTGGCAGAACCACCTGGTCCTGTGTGCCAAGGGATGGGCTCCGAGGGGTTCAGAGCTCTGAGCTGTTGCAGGAGATAGACGTCAGGGCTCCCTCCCCTCAAGGGAGCCGCCTTCCCTCTCTGCCTACTTTCCGAGTAGCAGCAGCAGCTTCTCCCCTTGGCCCAGGCCTGAGAGCCAGGCATGCACTCCCATCTGGAGAGAGGCAAGGAGACCTAGGCCCAAAAGAGAGAGAGTGGAGAGAGAGGTGCATAGGCCTGGCCCATCTTCAGAGCAGAGTGGGCCCAGCTGGGCCAGGCAGAACAGGCCATCTGGGGACCGCTGCAAAGGCAGTATCAGCGGCTGCCCTCGGGCTGGGCTGCGGTACTCACCGGCCAGTGGCCTGTGCTTGTCGTTCAGGGCCTCGGACAGGTGCTTAACTCGGAAATCATGCTCGTGACCTGGCGAGACGTTGGCCGCACAAACACAAGTAGCATTTATCCAGGGGCCAGGTGGGCTGCCCCTTGGTGTATGGGGAAGAAGCCCTTCATCTCCAGGAGGGGGATGTCAGATGGGGGATGGGAAACGGGCATCGGAGGGGGGGCTCTGAGCCCCTCCTCTACCTCAAGCTACCTTGGGAACAGCCATTTCAAGCCTGACTTCAGTGAGCACCCAGGACCATCCTTAGCTGCTCACTTCCCCAAGCCTGGAGGCCCAGGGCAAGTGGGGAAGGACCAAGGAGGGGCTGAAGAGCTGATGCTTGGCCCCAGGGGGTTTCCCCACCTCACTGTATTTGGGAAAAGCCCCAGTTTGCCTGTCCCCTGCTGTACACGCTCCCCTTTCTAAAGAGGGGAAGGCCGGCAGGCCTCGGCCAGCTGGGTCCTGCCACTGCTGGTCTGAGCGTAAAAGGGCTGCCCCAAGACAAATAACTTTCTCTGAGTTCACACGGGAGACGAGGACAGAGACAGGGAGGGGAGGAGGAAAGCCTCAGGGAGGGCAGAGCTGCCATCAGCCAGAGAGGACCAGGCCGAGGGCCGCGAAACTGTCCCTGCACCCGCTGAAGCCTGAGTGGCATCCGGGACCTGCCGTTCCCACCCTGCTCCCCTCAGGGTTTCTCCCGAGGCCCTCCTGGGGGAGGCTCTGCCCTGCCAAGTGAGTGGACACACAGTGGAGGAGGAAGGGACGGGAGGGAACACAGGGTGATTACCTTCCAGAGGAATGAGGTTAGAGCCCCCCTTTTTCCCATCTAGACCATGCTGGGAATACTGTTTCAGAAGGTTCTGAGCCTTACGGATCGTCCCTGTCACCAGAGCCACACAGAGAGGAGATAAGAAGACCTAGGAAATGAGTAAGAGAAAACAGCAGCGGCCCTCCACCTGCCCCCAGGCCCCACACCCGGCCCCACACAGTGAGCAGGCCCTTCCCTGGGACCACCAGAGACCCTGGGGACAAGGTCAAAGGAAAGGAATCATTTCCTTCTCCAAAGGAGCCTTGATTCTACTACTGACCCTCCTTGTTCTGGATTTCAGTTCATTTCTGAAAGGACCGAGGGTGATAGAGATAACAATGGACCAAGATCCACTAGGAAAAGTTAAAATAAAAAATACCATGGAGTGGCCCTGTAATCAGAATAGGCGGGGGCTGAGGTCGGAGGAGCTGGTGATAAAGCTCTCACACCCAGAGGGCACAACCAGGGTGGCAGAGCCTGGGGGCACCCTGAAGCCAGCAGGCCCCCAGCCCAGCCCCAAACTCCAGGCAGAGTTCTCCGAGCATGCTCAGGGTTGGGACATAAGCTAAACAGCAGCCAGTGGGAAGCCATCCCGACTGAACTTCCGGGGAGCGCCGTGCCCACGGTGGAAGGCTCACAGACCCAGAGGCAGCCTAGCCCACACGCCAGAGTTCCCCAAACCACCAAAGCCACAGGAAAAAATCCGAAAGCCAAGAAGGGGTTAACAGAAGCCACCGCACAGAGAGCCTGGAGGGTGCACTCGGGAGGAGAAGGTACATGTTCTTGGCATGGAGGGAAAAAACAAAAGTTAATGTCACAAGTGAAAACAATCAGAACAAAACGGCAGCACCCACAGCCGCCTGGGTCAGCCTCCTCTGTGGGAATGAGACATCTCGGGGCCGAAGACGTGGAGAAATCAACTCCCGTCTCAAATAGACAAGTGCAGCTGCCTGTTAACAAAACGTATGGGAGAAGGAAGGCACCCGGGACGCCCCCGCCCCCCACTGCCCATCTGAGCACAGTGAGGATGCTGTGTCCTGGCAGCTCCTCAGAAAGCTCAGGGAGGAATGGGCAGTGTCTGGAGGCTCACTGCTTGCACCTGCAGCGCACCGCACCGCACCGTACCACACCACACCACACCATACCACAATTAGCTCTTTTTTTTCTTCTTTTTTTGAGGCAGAGTCTCGTCCTGTTACCCAGGCTGGAGTGCCGTCAGCTCACTGCAACCTCTGCCTCCTGGGTTCAAACTATTCTCCTGCCTCAGCCTCCCGAGTAGCTGGAATTACAGGCATGTACCACCATGCCCGGCTAATTTTTTTTCTATTTTTAATAGAGATGGAGTTTCACCATGTTGGCCAGGCTGGTCTCCAACTCCTGACCTCAGGTGATCCGCCTGCCTCAGCCTCCCAAAGTATTGGGATTACAGGCATGAGCCACCATACCCAGCTCACAATTAGCTCCTAATAACCAAGTCCCACGGCCTGGCTCACATCTGCCTTGCTCATTCTCTCCCCTTCAGCAAGCACGGCTCACTAATGAGTGAATCTGATTCCTGTCCCACGACCCACCAGGAGCAGAGGCAGATGCACACCCACAGGATGTGGGTCGGGAATATGGATCTGGTAGCCACCAAACCCATCAGGCACCCAATTACCTCCAGGGATGCTGAGGTTGGTGCTTCACCTGGGAGGCCCCCCTGCCCCTCTCCTCAGAAGTGGGAACTAACGTCCCCGGGGCTTGATTCCCTAGAGCCTGACATCAGTTCTGAGCCCACCAGTTCCTGACGACTCTTGAAGCCCCACAGACCCCCACAGCCGGACAGTTTTCCTCTTGTGTCTCTGGGGCAAGGATTGATGTGGTCCACTGTGAGCTCCCTGAGATCAGATCCCTGCTCCCTGAAAGGCTGGGGGCTGCATGGCCAGCAGGCACTCTTAGGGCAGTGCAAATAGGGCTCTGGGGTCTCCCGGGGGCCAGTCACAGAACCAGGCAGAAGAGGAAGAGAGCGCAGACTAGCTGGGGCCGAAGCAGCCTGGAAGCCTTACGGAGACAACTGCTGCACGCCATAGAGGACACAGAAATGCCCCGGCCTCCGTGCAGGCCGCTGAGCCCACAGGCTGGGCTGGCAGTCCCCGTTGGCAGCAGGTTTTGTCTGGGCGGGTAGGGAGAAGGCCCCAGGCCCCAGCTCCCTAATGTTCTACTCACTTGTGCCTCTGAGAGCAGCCCCTGTTCTGCCTATTTCTTCAAATCCTAAACAAAGGCCTGCAGGGGAGGTGCTCTCGTGGAGCAGACACCTCGCTCTCTGAGGGGAGGGGCATGTAAGGAACTGGAGAAACCGAGGGTGTAAGTAAGCTCTACCCAAAGCCTGTTGTCACAAGAAGCAGGTCCCACAGCAACTAGGGCAGGTGCCTGCAGCAGCAGCTGGGCAGGGGGCCAGCCTGGGTGGGAGCAGCCCCAGCATCTCCGGCTTTCTCTCCCAGAGCAATCTCAGTCCCACCTAATAACCAAGTCCCCAGTGGAACGTCCCAGCACCTCCTCAAGCTGCAGGAAGCACCTCTCGGTGGCGAGACCAGGCTTGCCAAGCTGTGGCTCACAGAGATGCTATTTACCTGGAGCACAGACTACAAGGGACATGATGCCAGTGAGAAAGAACAGAGAGATGACGAGATGTTCACCCAGGACAGCGACAGCCCCGCCCAGGCCTCTCCTCATGGTGCCCTTTCCACAAGGCACCGACTCGCACTGGAGCCCAAAGCCAGTTTAAGTTCTTCTGAGAGGATGCTCTGGGGTTTCTTTCCTTTCTGGATTGACCGGGAAAGTGAAATTCTCCCCATCCAGCTCTCAGATAAACGTTACTTCAGCTCACCCTGCTTTGCTGGAAGGTGAAGGTTATAGCGCCTGTCCCCTTGCTATCCCAGCATCCTTCCTGGCTGCAGCAGTGTGCCAGGCCTCCTGACAGGGCGATGTGTGTGTGAGGGAGGGGTCCAGGCAGGGGCTCTGCCCTGGAGGCCTCTGCAGCCTGTCTCAGACGGGATTAACTGAGCACCTGTAAGCCCCCCACTACAAAGAAGCTATGTAACCCCAAGGCTCTGCTGGCTGGAAGGAAGAGCCTCACCCCTGGGGGGCCTCACTGGGTGGGCAGACACTTGCTTTCTGTCCTGTGTACCTATAGTCAGGGTTACCATGACAACAAACTCTGGAGGGACCTGATGCTGCAAACGCTAGACTGGACAAAAGCAGTGCAGGTCCCAGTCAGCCTCTGGCTGTGGCAGAGATGGGCCAGGATGGGGGCTCACCTGGCCGCTTGACTGGCTTCTTGGTAGGTGTGTCTTTCCTCTTGTTGGGGATAGCAGGGGAGTAGGGAACCCCAGAGGAAGAACTGCTTTTATGGAAATGCTCCTTCAGGCCCTTGATGGAGCGGTCCAGCTGGCTGGAGCGTATCTGGTAGTAGACGTTCATGAAATCTAAGGAGACACGGAGTGATAGAGGTATGGCTGCCAGGCCCTGCCCTGCCTTGCACACCTGGCACGTCTACCTGTCAACCCTTCCTAGCATCTGCTCTCCATTCTGGGTCACAAGCCACCCATGTCTTGTCCCAAATCAGGCAGTCTTTCAAAGTTTTTGTTTTTTTTTTGAGACAGGGTCTTTCTCTGTTGCCCAGGCTGGAGTGCAGTGGTGTGATCTCAGCTCACTGCAACCTCTGTCTCCTGGGTTCAAGCCATTCTCTTGCCTCAGCCTCCCGGGTAGCTGGGATTACAGGCATGCGCCACCACACCCAGCTAATTTTTGCATTTTTAGTAGAGACAGGGTTTCACCATGTTGGTCAGGCTGGTCTCGAACTCCTGACCTCGTGATCCACCAGCCTCTGCCTCCCAAAGTGCTGGGATTACAGGTGTCAGCCAATGTACCCAGCCCCAGTTAAACGTTCTTTTGCCGGGCGCGGTGGCTCAAGCCTGTAATCCCAGAACTTTGGGAGGCCGAGGCGGGTGGATCACGAGGTCAAGAGATCGAGACCATCCTGGTCAACATGGTGAAACCCCGTCTCTACTAAAAATACAAAAAAC